GGGGGGGGGGGTGAAGAAGGGGAAGGTTGGTCGGGTGGGGAGGAGAAACAGGTCGTTTCAAAGGGATGAAGGAGAAGGGGAAAAAGAAAAGGAAAGTAAGTCGTGCGGTAAAACGAAGAGATCCCGAGGGATGGGAATGTAAAGAATAACGATGCCAGGAGTGAAAAACGTGTAAAGCCGCGAGGTACGCGCGTCTACGCAGGAATCGATTTAGCGATTGAAAGACGAAAAGAAAAGAAAACAAACAAATAGAAAAAAAAAAAAAGTTAAAAATGACCGTTCTTTTCGGTGGACGTTAACAGTTGAACCCGGAGAGTTCGAATGGCTCGCGTTAACGATGCGTTAGAATGTTAGCATTAAAGTGATGTAAAGGAGATGGAAGGAAACGAAGAGGGGAAGGGATTTATAATGAAATGTTTCTTTCATAACGATCGGGTGGGTTCTAGCCTACGTATTCCCCTTTATCTCGGTCCTCGTTGAGCTCTGGCTACGAAAATTTTGATTAATCGAAGACGTGAGAGATCCGCGTCGCCCTTCGTGGAGCGCTCGGTGCCTTCTTCGACTCTTCGTCGGTCGAATCTGTAAAAGAAATAAAATAATCATCAGTTACAAGTTCGACACGAGATAACGAATAATGGCTGCGATACAGGAGACAGAGTACGTGTAATAAATGGCTGAGGGACTTTGATGGGAATATTCGGAGCAGGTTTTAGCGCGGTGCTAATACCTGAAAAATACGTGTACTGCTAGAGGAGAATAGCTGCGGGCGATGATTTAGTATTAAAGATCCCTCCGGGAAAATGAAGTCCGACCGCTCACCGGATGATCCAGTCGAATGAGAATCGAGTTGATGGAACATCAGGCGTGTGGATAACGAGGCAATGGCGATTCGCACGTCGCGAAAGAAAAGGGGCTAATGCGTGGCTTTGCCCGATACATTATAATGAGTTGATGCGCGGAGAGCACCTTGTGGCTAATAATTTCATATAATTTAATAAACACGTCCTTGCTTCTGTGCGCAGACATAGTGGGTCGGTAGCTGTTATTATAGACAGTTTGATGGTATCTTACCAGTACGTAATGATAACAGTGACTACTGGCTCCCGATTACGGGCAAACGTGAATGGCTACGAGTCGGACGGAAATAGAGGCGTCCTGTGCTATTGCGAATTAAGCCTGCGGCGCGTCATTGGGATTGCGAATTTCATACGAATTGGAACTGAACGAGCTTGCCATCCTTGCCAATCTAACCCCCTGCAGATCACCGTGCCGAATCAGCGATTAATTGTATATGAGTGAAGAAAAACCGAATTTCAGATTTTTGTAAAAAAAAGTCATACTGGAGTATAATCTACTTGAGCACGAAGAAGTTAATGCATTGGTTTGTGAGAGAGAGAGAGAAAAAAAAAAGTGGGAAAAGTAATACAGGGAGTCCTGATAAAAAGGTAATAAAAATAATGGCTATGGCCACTGTGGCTTCTCTCCTTATCGGGAATCGCTGGGACTGATCAGAGTAAAAAAAAAACAGTCAAGACCCAGCCAAACCTTAAATTGCCATTTGGTCCATGTACTTGTATACGTACAGTGAATCTTGGATGCTTAATCGAATCTCTGGGGGAAAAGATGCTTAATTAAATTCGACGCTGCTCAAACTTAATTGGCGCCGCCGGCGACGATTTCAGATTACGAAGGAATTGGTCGATTCGTTTAATAGTCACTGTAATGATATATCTATATATATGTTGGTATAACTATATACGGCTCTCACTATTCTATAGTGTGTCATATGGGATCAAGAACACTTTTGATTATCACGCAATTCTCATTGTCAACGGGCTTACACGTGTGTAACGGTTAGACGAGCGAAAGAGTGCGAATCACCCCCGAGTGATTTCAAGATTATTGACCCTGGTTTTTTTTCACTGTAAACCACAAACGCTTGATCACGATGTGTTGGCTCTTTATTTGCGTCGCCTGAAACCAAGTTTATTGACTTTCTTACGTGGAACGTGGATATACGCAGTAGATACTACACGTGATCGGGCATTGTGAATAACGTTTGCCAAATTCGGCAAGCTTCTCAAGAGTCAAACCTGCTATGAAATTACAAAGCTATTATAATTCTTAATACGGACAATACAAGGTGCACGAGTATAGTAAGTTTTTATGGATTCACCGTGTGTAACTCCTGTCTCTTCCGCTAGGGGCGTAAAGTGCTGCCATCTCGCGGGACTCTTTGCAGTTCGACGTGCATAAAGGAATTTTCCCAAAAGTCAGAGAAAGAAGGAGGGTCTTCTTGAACGGAAACCGCTGAGGTTCAAGGACAACGCGGAAAGGGTGAGGTAGTCGGAAGACCGAGCCCCTTTATTATACGGACGATTACGACAACAGCAACAATTCGAGTAATAGCAACAATAAGAACTAAGAGGCCGGACGTAGCACTTGGTGCCGGACCACCTTTCTCCGAAACAATAACCCTTAGCATTATTGCCATCCATGTTCACACAATGGCAAAGCTCGTGCATACTTATTATCACATAGAGTGCGTTTCAGTGACGTAGACATTTCATATATTAAGAGCACGTGGATGGTATTACCAATACCGAAGAAAACAATTTTTTATTTAACGAACGTAATGCAATTTGAATGAAGAGACTAATAGATTTGAAAAAAAAGGTACCATAACTTTGATCGTTAAAATAAATTTGGAATACGTAAGAATTTGTAGAGCTGAATGAAAAATATTGAATATATGTAGAACGAGTTTCTAAATTTCCTCTCTACGCCATTGTACGGTAGATAGAACCACAAGGAGGAACAAAGCGACCCACGCTGTGGGTACCGTCATATTCATATCCATATGTGAACCTAAGGGCACCGGTGGACTGGGACGATAGTAGATACATCCATGAGGTAAAGCTACATCCACACGGCGAGTCATCGGAGATTCTCACAGAGCCGTTCGTAAATCGACCTTTGTGACCCTAAGCGTCCGGCCCCTCCAGGAATGCAGGAATACACCGAGTAAGGAAATCTAGGATGATTCTTGAAAAATACGTAAGGAACACGTTACTACGCGAAATCGAAAGTAAAGAAGAAAAAAATTAGCCATGAAGAATGAAAGCTGTACTCTTCCATTAAGTTAAGGGCGTTGTCTACGGTACGTCGCGTTTTATGATTAACGGTAATTACACGAAAAATAAAATATTACCGACAGCCATAATGGCTATGCAGGGTCCTGCGAAGATGCAAAAACGGAAATAAAAGGATTCATTGGCACGAGGAGCTACAGAGTCTCGAGGTAGATATAGACACTCATCGGAAACTTCAAATGTAGTTTTAAATAAGAGTCTCGTATGAAATACTATGGCAGGTGCAACAATGGATTCATTATTGAAACTGTGCAGTGAACGCCGACGAATACTTCAAGCCGGGATAAGGTCAATGACCCACCTGACTGAAGAGGCGCACACGTGCCCAAGCAAAATACTTACTCACACGTGAGTCAAAAATGTATTGTATTCACCACTGCCTGACTTTGCACAGTGAGTTATGTCTGAAGGCGTTCACGAAAATTTCCGTCCCTTATCCAGAAGGTCTGAGCGAGCGAATATTACATGCTAGACCAAGCGTTACGGAAGTGGTTTGAAATATTTTTTAACCCCCCCGAGAGAGAAAGTGCTTTGAAAAATGTTGACTCGTAGATCTTCTACAATACCGCAGATTCCTGCACTAGCGATGCACTAGAATTCAGTCCTAACCTGTGCGTATACATTTCAGTCAATAATTCCACGATCGAAGGACAAAGGCCATTCGAGTGTAATCGTCCTGCCAAAGGGATGTCGAAAATAAATGTCTATGGCATGTCTAATTTGTAACTAAAAGAAGAACCTACTTACAGAAATACAGTAGCTCGATCCAATAATCGTCGTATCCAAGAGAATGTTTTCTAGAAAGCGTGCAACGGTTCGACAACTGCTTTTAGGTTATGCGCACGTTCCTATTTCACTGTGACGGGCAACCATGGGATCTTCTCCACTCGATATCACTGGGTCAGTTTACTAGTTCACTCGAGAATTCTAGTCAGTGCACCGCGTCGTAATACCAAACGGCTATCCGAGCATGAATTCGTCCAGCCATTAACCCAGAAAATAGAACGGAATACTGCAGCGCCACGAGCTCTAGTTTCGTAGCGGCCGCACGGCGTACTACGATAAAAAGTCCGCGTGATTTTGAATCGCATTTAAAGGTAAAATTGATCGAATCAGCTATAAACAAAAAGTATCCCAGTTTCGTTTGCGCAGATTCTCTATTGTCTCTAAACAATTTATACCGGTGTAACATCAGGACGTAAAAGTTTACGAGATAATGAAAGCCTCTTGCCGTAGGAGGGGAGGCAGAGGGCGTTCTGATAAAGTGACTATCGAATTATAAGAGGGACAGGCAGGATACGAACCGGTACCAGGCTTCCGGAAACGGTCGCAGGCAAGCAGTCAGACAGCCCGCCCATGGCAGGGTCGTTGCACGCATGCGCTATCGATCCTTCCGCAAAGTGTTACTTCTTTGCTGTTACTTTGTTAGATAAACGCAACCTAATGAGTACAGGAAAACCGAGTATCCGTGCGTATATAGCTCGAGCTCACCGATAGGTACACAGGTAGGCACACCTTGGCAAACGACAGGGACTACAGTCCGGTGCAAAAGTGAGCAGACAGCCGTGACTAAAGAGTCGTAATTTTATTTATTTATAAGAAATATCGAAAATTCTTCGAAGAACGATATTTCGGAGAATACGAAGACTCGGCGGGTCTTCTGTTCTTTGTAAAACAAAAGAAAGATGGCGTCCTATGGGCACTGAGAAGCAGTAACGTCAGACGCTTTCTGGAAGATTTCAGCGGTTCTTCGCGAGCAGCGACGCGTAGGCAGGCGAAGGGAGCTAATATGTCACAGCAGCGTGTATTGTGTCACAGTGCCTTCGGAGTCTAGAACACGACACAAAGCGCATTGTTGCAATCGGCCGACCCAGATCACATGCCGCCGTCGAGTAAGCTGCCTTGCCACTCTGACTGCTCGCTCGCCCGAGTCTTGCCCTGCTTAGTTAGACAGTACAATTTACTTGCGGAGTCTACGTAGGTATATCGTACATAACCTATATCCACAAATTCACTATAGCTACTCAGAGTATGGAAGACGGCTCCGTGCGACCGTAGTTATCTGCTTTAGTGGATAGAAACCAACTGGTTCGACCAATGGAACATCGTTGGTTAATGTAAATCGGAACTTTAAGACGAGTGGATAAGGAATTTACATGAGAAATGGAAATTTACACGTTATCCAAACCAAGTGGAAGAGCGATACTACAGTGGTTAAAAAAAACCGTATATACGATGTGTGTACGTCAAAATGTGAGAGGTTTGCGATGCATTTAATAATCCTAGTTTTATCCTTTGTTGGGTATATACTGAGATTTCAAAGGAATCAAACTAAGAAGAAAAATGGCGATCAAGTCGGCGCTGCTCGCTTATGCACGAACTAGGTAATTACTAGAGTCGAGTTAAGAGGAGAATCTTGTAAGAGTG